CTAAATCTTATTTCCCAAAAGTTCCTTCCCCTGTCTCTCTAATTCCTCTGTTAGCTTGTACCAAATAAATGTACAACATACTCAATTTCAGGTAACCACATATGGAGTCATTTAATGACACCTTTCTCTTCAGATCAGCCTGTTCTTGTTTCTGTTCTTATTCCAGCTTTGGGAGGGCTTCTTTCCTCTTCCGGCACTTGTGCATTTGGCCATGGTCCCCCCTCAACCCCCGCCATATGTTCTGCTCTACAACTCTTGTTTGTAGATTGCCCTTTAGAGGTCACAAAACCCTTTCCCATTTGTCATTGATCCTTTGATCCTTCTTGCAATGCTGTGAGTCAGGCAGAGCAAGTTTTCTTCTCTTCCTCAAATTGCTTGACATGAGGCCTTAAATTTGTTCATTCGTGAATGTGTCTAATTTGCTTGTAAAAATGGCCAAATAGCCACTTTATAGGGTCAATGTAATACAAAGTGGAAGAGGCACAATCAGAACCCAGGTCTTCAGCCTCCTGTTCCCAGTCCCAAGAATTGTCATTGGACCCTATCTTGCAAAAATGTCTTAGGGAATTGTATCAAGAGTAGAGGTGGCTGGTTTCTGTAGGTTAGAGTTATTTCTTCTTTTCTTTTTTTCTTTTTCTTATTTTCTTTTATCCCCTGTGGTCACTGTTTTTGATTTTGGTACCCTGTGTCTTGTATATACATTTATCTGATTTGGGAGGGAAAGGGAAATAATGAAATGGTGAGACAAAGGACAAAGGGTGAACCACTGACACTGAGATACTCACAAGACACTTGGTTGGAAATGAACTTTACAAAGTTGGGGGGAGAGGAAGGGGAGACCAGGGGAAGGAAAGAGGGAGAAAACAAGGGAGGGGGTAACTCTGTTAGACACACACACACACACACACACACACACACAGATATGTATGTCCACTATTCAGTTCTATATTTTATTAATGTATTCCCGAGAGCTTTCTATTTTACTATATGGGAAAAAAATGTGTCCTTTATAGTTGTGTGGATTCTACTTTAATTGTGTACTCCATTCTACTTTCCTGTAGTGGGAAACTGGGCTGTTTCTATTATTCCTGCTAATCTGTTGTTATTAATAACCACATTTTGTGTGTATGCACCTACATCTGTATATTAGTTTCCAGCAGTGGAGTAGCTGGGTCAGGAGAGTCTACTTACATATTGGATAGATATTCTCTAAATGATCTATGAGGGGCCTTGAGCTGTTTGTATGGCCGTTATCAGTGTATGAGAACACCTGTCTCTCTATACATTCATCAGTGGAGTCTGAGAGATGAGATGAGAAATGGGGGACAAAGTTCTAATTGAAGACTGAGACATTTACTTTGTGCTTAGCTTGTGGTGGAATTACTGTGCAGTCCTAAGAGCTGCTGCAGGCATCAATTTCAATGGAAATAATAGCTCACCATGGATATGGGCTTATGCCAGCCCTTGTGACATAGAATGGACCCACATTGTCACTTGTAGACTTTCCTGTAATGGAAAGTTGAGCTTGTATTCATTATTTGCCCAACTAGCAATGCTGGCTCCCAAGAGCACATCAGTATTTATTGAAACAATATAAAAAAAAAAAAAGAAAATTGTTCTGCCTAAACACACTGTGTACCAGGCTTGCAGTGCTCTTTCCTCAGCTATTAACATTATTTCTAGGGACAGAGTGTAAGAGATGTATATCTCAAATCACAGAGGAAGTCTTGTTAAGCTTAGAATTTTCCTACCCAAGGGATGCTTCTTGTGAGGAGTGACTCTGCACTTCCCTAAAGGTTTGTAATTAACTTAATTAGTAATTTACAAGATAAATGAAAACTTCCAGAGTACAATATAAACACTGAACTGTGACACAGGATTGCTAGGTTTCTTTAATGTTGCCAGGCAGTTCTGTGTATTATGCAAATCCATGGAAAACACCACCTGTGTATGACTTAGATATATTCCAGGTTGACCTCTTGTAAGTTTTTACCATTGTTATCAGAAAGATTGACCCTCGGGCTCATTTTTCTCTGAAAACAGTATGCTCTTCTTTAGAAACAAACAAAAATCCCTTTAGTTCCATTGCACAGAAAGTATGGCAAATGAAGTCTGACAGAAAAGTTATTCAATCAAAGTGATCTTTTGTAAAAGTAGACTTTAAAAAAAAAAAGAAGGAAGGAAAGCCATTTTTCTTTCTGTGTGTAGAATCATTGTACCTGGAAAGTTGCATTCCTGGTTGTATCTGCATTGCATGAGAGACCTTTCCCAGGCATATGGGTGGATTGTGAAAAGCTACCTGACACAGCACTGACAAATACGTTTTCTTTCAATGATAATGTCTATGAACGCTTCCACAACAGGCATTTCCAGTTTTGCTCTCTGGCTCTTTACAGCAGCTTCTGTGAAAAATCTTTTCTCTCCTAAGGGCGGACAATGGCAGAAGCAAAGTGTTCTCACTGTGACATCATCACACACTCCACCATTGCACATGGGATGTCAGTCCAGATGTATTTGGGGGGGGAGGGCACTGTTGTCTTTGTCCTCCATTCATACTATAGGCCTCTAAAAGGCAGTATGATGGGAGATAATTTTGAGACCTTTGTTTCTTGGGCTGTATTGACTTCATTGCTCTTGGTGGTACAGTCTGCACTGATGTTCACTGAAGGTTAGACCATTTCTTCTACTGGCCCGAGGGTCTTCAGTAGTTGTCTCAACTATACCTACCCAACGGATGCTCTTAGGAGGAGTGGCTTCACTTTCCTCAATGACATTGTCTTGTGATAGCTATCTTTCTGCTTACATCTTAACCTCTCAACTGTATTCTTTAAAGGACAGAGATCACAAGTAGGTGACATAGAGTAACAGATAGGAAGGATTCGAGGTTCAGGTATTAAAAATAAATTTTTATGTCCCTGTTACAATTTTAAAAGGCCCACAGGTCTTGGTTGAAATCATTGTTACTCAAGCAGAATTGACAGAGTATTTGGTAGCTATGGTTACTGGTTTAAAAAGTGTGTGGTTCTTTTCCAACGCCCAAAGAGATCTCCAAGGGAAAATGTTCTGACATGTCCCAACAAATTACCTTCATGGATTGTTTTGACATGGTCCTATTAAGTATGTGTGTATGGTTGGGACCTTGAGGGAATAATTTCATGTTAGGGGGAAGTAGTAACAAAGACATAGTAGGATTATACTCAACATCTGTGGCATGAGTTTGTAAGCAGCCATATAGGGCTTTGCTTAAATACATAAACACATAGGGACTGTGCATATATGTGCCACATAGATCTCCCTCCAAATGCAAAACACTAGATCCCATCTGATCCCCCCATCCCTACCCCTATGGAGGAGGCATGCAGCCATGGTTCAGAGTCATCTCCATTATGCTGGGTGCATGGTCTTAAGGAATTGATTGAATCTCTCTGAGCCTCGGTTTCCTTTAGCTATAATCTGCTTGGTGCAGTTATTTGCTTTATAATGAGTGGATGTTAGGCCACTTAGGGAGTCAATTTTTTAAAAAAACAAACATTTGTTTTTGAACAGTGTCACCCCTTCCCTTATTCTTTCCCAGTTTTCCCCTTCTGTTCCCACCCACAAGGTATATAGTTCATCTTCAACATAGTCTTTAATGAGTATCAGTGCTGCATTTGTTCACCCTTTGGCCCACCCTTTCTGTGTCCCCCTGTACCTTCCCAAAGACAGATAAAATAACAAACGAGGTAAGAGGTAAAGAAAACAAAAGACAGTATCAAAGGAAAAAAAAACACCTCTTGTTTCCATTTCTTGGAGTTCATTTCAATAAATATCATTTCTGTATGCACATACCTATTGAACCTTTGTGATCCTCTCCCAAGAGTAGCCTCCTTTGTTCTTTGTGTTTTAGAATCTCGTATAAAATGTTATGTCCAAGTGTATTTTTTTGTCTTTTACCAACCGATCTGTTTACTTGTGGATTTATAGGCACACTCTAGGTACAACATGCAACCTATGTTTCTTTGGATCTGGCTTACTTTGCTCAATATAATCTTTTCAAAGTCTTTCCATTTCCTTATGAATGATGCAATATCATTCTTTTTTATGGATGAGTAGAATTCCGTTGTGTGTATATACCATATCTTCTTGATCTATTTGTCCATTGAGGGGTATCTGATTTGATTCCCTATCTTGGCTGTAGTAAACAATGCTGCAATGAACATGGTTGTGCTGGTAGCTTTAGCATGGCCTTGTTTGTGGTCTATTGGATATGCCAATGAGTGGAATTGCTGGGTATAGGGAAACTGTTTAGTCTTTTGAGGAACCCCTATACTGCTTTCCAGAATGATTGAATAAGTTTACATTCCCACCAACAGTGTAGTAGTGTTCCCCTTTGGCCACATTGAGGGATCATTTAATACAAAGAAAAGCTTGGTACAAATTATTTATCCAGATAGCTAGAACATATTCCAAAAATTTCCTCTTACTTATTGCTTCTCTCAGTAATACTTACTTTATAGATTCCAGGTAGAAATACTATCTCCATCTCAATGCTTAGATTAAAAGTTTTGACATTTGAATTGACATGTCATTTGCGGGAATCAGTGGTTAGTTAAAAGAGATGGAGAAAGGCAGAGCTCTTTCTGCTCTTATAGTTAGGGCACTACCATTCATTCTAATGGCTTAACTAATACAGGTATTTTCTCCTCAGCCATATGGATCTTTTGTCATCTGAGATGATACTAATTTCCTTATATTTTATAGTAGTTCAGATCATAGCCAGTTTCTTGAATAGACACAAGATCTAATACTCTGTTAATTTGCACTATTCTGATAAGCCATGATGCTTAGAAGAATTAAGAGCTGGGATAGTTCAATGGGCAGGGAGAAAAAAAAAAAAACCTATGTAATTTTTTTCCCCCTGCATTAAGCTACAGATATAATGAGCACTTTCCTGTGTGTCACAGTAAGTAATTAAAAGAAATTATAGAGTTGGATACAAACATAACCCGAAGGACAACTGGATGTGTGGAACCACCAGTTTTCTCCATGTGTGCAGGTTAATCCTTGTTAATGCTAAGAATACTGGGTTTCTACAGAAAGGGCTGCGTGTCCACACATGCTGCAGCACCTACCCACAAACATCTGAATGGCATGACTGTGCATCTCAGATGGCCTGTGGTGTTTGCCTCTGCACTTCAGTGGAATGGAACAAAGCGATTCCTGAAAATGGTCTCATAAAGGTGAGCAACTGGAAACGAATAGCCTTCTTGTGCTTAGATCTTTCCCCTAGATCGTGGAATAGTATTTTGAAGAAGGATGATATTCTTTTGGCTCCAGAGGCAACTTATCTTTCTAGTTTCTTCCTCTATGTCTTTTTACCTCTCATATTTTGTAGTGTTCAGAAGATAAGGTCTAATTCATTGTCAGGTGAACGTTAGCTCTCTCAATCTCACCTTGTCTTTTCTGGTTAATGATGTCAACACTAGTTTGAGCCTAACAAAACCAGTGCCTAATTGTGTACAGCTGTTCTTTTTATTATTAAAACTTGTGTAAGATATTCTATTAATTGAAATATATTGGGTATGGAGCATTTCAAGAGTATTAATTGTGGAAAAAATTGGGAAGGAAGGGAAAGGCTTTACCAACGCTTTGGAATCCATTAAGAGTGTGACTGTGAGATTGCAGTATCAGGTAGGTTATAGGCTGTCAGCTGTGAGGATTCTCATAGCATCTCATGGCAGTAATTCAGGGCATCTAGCAATGACCTATATATAGGCAAACTGTTGATTAAAGTAACCATTTCTGAGAGATTGAAATAAGACAGAATGCTTGAACTCTCTTTTTCTCTCTTGTTTTAAACTGAGATTCTGGCACAATTTCAACCTACCAACATATTGGCAAACAAAATTTCTTAAAGGAGGACTCCCTTTATCCTCTGGTCTGAGAGTTACCACACACTCTTCTCTTACGTACAAAGACTGCAGTTGCATCACCTTGAATTATTTTTTGGTCCAAACACACTTACGCTTGGAGGCAGGAAGATGAGGTTTTGCTTTGCCTTCGCAACATTCTCCTCCAGTAGGTGGGCCAGTGTGGAATTTAGAGCATACAATCCCTTAGCTGTGTTGGCAATTGTATTTTTTAATCTGGGATTGAAGGTGGAAACTAACATCATTTTGAGATACTACCTAGGAAAATAAGGCTCAGGGTCACCTCAGCCCCCACCTGTTTGCAAATTATTTGCCAAACATATCAGAGTTCCCACTGAGAGTCCTTGATGGATCTGGTGACTTCTTGGCATTTGAAATCCAGCAATCCTGGATGAACTTTTGTAAAGAGCCTGAATGTGGACTAGTCTCAAGTTCTGTTTATAAAACTGCCTCATCAACTCCCTCACATCTTTGTTCTTTTTAAAAAAAAAAAATTGTAAAGGTAATATACAGAAGGGTTACAGTTATGTAAGTCAGGTAATGAGTACATTTCCTTCTGAACAGTGTCACCCTCCTACTCAGTCTCTCCCAGTTTTTCCCCTTCCAACTTCCCTCCCTGCCACAACTGATTAATTAAATAGTCTAGACATTCACACAGTAAGAACATAGGGGGATACTCTTAGGAGAGGATCACAAGGGCTCAATAACTAAGTACATATGATCATATAAAACATTTCTGGAAATTAACTCTAAGAAATGGAAGCAAGAGCATTTCTTAAAAAAAATTGTATTGTTTGTGTATTTTTCCTTTGTTTATTCCCTTCTGTCCCTGCTTTGAATTTCTTTTTTTAATTTTTTTTTTTTTTTTTTGCCGGTCATGGGGCCTGAACTCTGGGCCTGGGCTCTGCCCCTCAGCTCTTCAGCTCAAGGCTAGCGCTCTACCACTTGAGCCACAGCGCCTTTTCCCATTTTTTTCTGCTTATGTGGTGCTGAGGAATTGAACCCAGGGCCTCATGCATGCGAGGCAAGCTCTCTACCACTGAGCCAACTTCTCAGCCCCTTAAAATATTTTTTTTATTATAAAGATACTGTATGGAGCGGTTACAGTTACATGAGTAAGGTAATGGGTACATTTCCCATTGAGCATTGTTACTCCCTCCTTTGTTTTTCCCCTACCCTCCCTTTCCTCCCCACCACCCCAACTACTCTCCCAACCCCAGAAGTTGTAAAATTTGTTTTCAACATTGTGTCTTGTACATCTCATTGCTACAATGGGTCAACCTGTATCCTTATTTCAGCATTTTGTTATTTCCCTTCCCCTCCCCAAATTAGAAAAATGTATATACAAGATGCAGGGCACCAGAATCAAATACTGTGAAAACAGGGTTTATACCATGTGGGAAGAACATACAAAAGAAACAAAAAAAAATCACACAGTACCTTATAAGTACATTAAAAACAACAACAACAAAGATAAAACCTCTTGTGTCCCTATCTTGGGGTTCAGAGAGGCTTTTCTGAAGAGGAAATAAGAATGGCCAATAGACACATGAAGAAATGCTCAACCTCTCTAGCCATAAAAGAAATGCAAATCAAAACATTGAGATTCCACCTCACCCCAGTTAGAATGGCTATTATCAGGAAATCTAATAACAGATGCTGGAGGGGTGTGGCCAAAAGGAACACCTACCACATTGTTGGTGGGAGTGTAAACTTGTTCAACCATTCTGGAAAGCAATATGGAGGTTCCTCAAAAGACTTCACATAGAGCTCCCCTATGACCCAGCAATCCTACTTTTGGGCATTTACCCAAATGATCACAAACAAGACCATACTAAAGCTACCAGCACAACTATGTTTATTGCAGCATTATTCACCATAGCTAAGATATGAAACAAACCCAGATGCCCTCAGTAGATGAGTGGATCAAGAAAATGTGATGTGATGTGTGTGTGTGTGTGTGTGTGTGTGTGTGTGTGTAAAATGGAATTTTATGCCTTCATCAGAAAGAATGGCACTGCTGTTTTTGATTTCTGTACTTTTGTCTTGTATATAAGTTTATCTGATTTGGGGAGCGGAAGGGGAAGCACAGAAATGGTGGGACAAAGGGTGAATCAATTCAGCAGTGAAACTCACATCTTTGTTCTGCTTCATTCCTTTTGGATTTCTAACTTTCTTTTTGAGCCATTTAGGGAACTTCAAATGATCTCAAGTATTAGCTACTAATTGAGAAATCTGGCTACTTAGAGGGCACTTAGTTTCAGATGAGTTGGAGGAAGGTGTTTGATGCTTGAAACATACATTAATATAGTTTAGGATTTTGTTGCTAATGCTCTTTTACTTAGGGAGACAGGGACAGGGAGCTGGTTGCTACTGAGCCTCGAACTCAGGACTTTGTGCCTGCTAGGCAGGCCCTCTACCACTTCAGCCAGTTATCCAATCTTTTTTGCAGTAGTTATTTTCAAGACAGTGTCATGTTCTTTAACGAGCTATCTTGTACTGCAGTCCTCCTATCTATACTTCCTATTGAAGCTGAGATGACTGGCAAATACCACCATAGACAACTGTTGGTTGAGATAAGGTCTCACAATCTTTTTTCCCAAGTGGACCTCAAACCATGATTCTCTTGATCTTTACCCTCCAAACATGCAGAATTATGGACATGAAACACCAGTGCCCAACTTAGAGAGGTTTTCATTTGTTTATTTTGAGTTTCATGGCACTTGGTAGTAGAGAATTGGATCTATATATGAATTTCAGGAAGAGTCTATAAATTGGAAAACTACCACTGAGTGAGTAATTTTTCTCTGTCTCATGAAATCACCATTGCAAGGTAGAAAGAACTCACAAGGACCACAGACATCTGGCTGAAAGTAATTTGACATCTGGCTGAAACAAAATGCCTGGAAATCTACCACCTGCTTTAGCTAGTCACATCATTTCCAGTATGATTCTGATGGAGAGGATAATATTAGGTTGGCTATGTTAAGTGATTAGGGAGCCCAGATATGCTTGCACCTGCCTTGTAGCACTTAGTTAGAAATTAATGATTGAGTAGCAGTCCAGATTTATATCAGCAGTACTCTATAAATTCTGATTTAACCAGTCACATTTATAGGTATCCTGCACTGGAGTGGAAAAGCCAGTTACCATAAAGAGAACCCAGGTTTTGTATTTAATACTATTACAAAAGCAAAGATACGTTCCCACATAATGAGTGTCCCAAGAAAACAAGTTGAACCAAAGAGGAAAGATGATAGGTAACCCATGGCATGTTGAGAAAGTACCATAGTACTTAAGTTGACTTTAACCCTTTCCTACCTTATCTTTCTTGGCTTCTTTGCTCTTTATCGCTTGGTCTAGTGCTTCTCACTGTAATGACAATATGATTTACCTTGAAGGGTATGTATGAATCTAGCTGAAATGCAGGTTCTGACTGGGTGGGGTGGAGTGAGGAGGGAAAGCCGAGAGTCCGAATTTCTTCTAAACTCTTAGGTGTTGCTAATGCTGCTTCTCTCTTGATCACACTGAGCAAGAAGGAAGGTTGTACTTTATTTCAGTCTCTGGAGTTTTATCCCATGCCTTCATTTCCTAACACTATAAATTCAAGACCCATAAATCTCTTTTGCTGGAGAATTTTTACTGACAACTTTGCATTATATCAGTTCACTGAATTTGTAATAATACGCTCAAAATATGATTTAAAGTTCAGGAGTTTAGACTATAAAAATAAATTCATATTTGGAATTTTAATAAATGGAGAAGTATATATAGAGAGATATAAGTACAACTTAATCAGGCTTAAATTATTTGGGTTGGTGTCACAATGATGTCACAATTAGTTTGCTTCTTTTGTTTTTGTTTTCTTTTTTGGCACTGTTGAGTAAGCAAGTGCTCTACCACTAAGCTACAATTCCAGCCCTGTTTTTGAAAAATCCTCCTGTTCACCATTTCTAGTCATTGTCCCTTTTCCAAAGGATTACACTCCTGTGATTTCATAATATTTGAAGAACACCTGTCATTAAGTGTTATGTTTACTTCACAAATTTTCCAGTTTGCTCATTACAGAGTGAGTCATTAAAACTTCATGGAACTAACTGGAATTAATTATCTTTTTAATTAATGTCACTATCCACCATGTATGGGAATTTGGTAAATATTATACTGTTAACTCTAACTTTGCTTTGGTGAATTATAATTAATCCCACCCGAAATTTTAATGAAAGCAGAATCCTAATTAAAGAAGTTACACTTTTTAATTGACCATCAACTATCATTTGGGTCTTAGAAACTATCAACTAAAAAAAACT